GTTGCTCTGGGCCTCCTATAAAATCATTCTTTTTCTGGGTCACCTAATGGAGAGGGCTGACAATCTGACTGTATTTGGAATTTGCAGTTTCCAGAAACCCACAACACCCAGGAAAGCTTGTGTTTCCTTTTTGTTAGTTGGTGGAGACATAGCTGTGATTTTATTAATCACGCCCATTGGACTCTGACGATGTCTATCTTGCCATTTTACTCCTAAAAACTGAATCGCCTGTGCAGGTCCTTTGACTTTACTATGCTTTATGGCAAAACCACCTCTCAGAAGGATTTGGATTATTTTCTCCCCTTTCTCAAAAACTTCTCTTGCTGTATTACCCCATATGATGATGTCATCAATGTACTGTAAATGTTCTGGGGCTTCCCCCTGTTCCAGTGCAGCATGGATCAGTCCATGGCAAATGGGGGGCCTGTGTTTCCATCCTTGGGGGAGCTGATTCCAGGTGTATTGGACAGCCCTCCAGGTAAAAGCAAACTGTGGCCTGCATTCTGCTGCCAGAGAGAAGGATGGAGAAAAATGCACTGGCAATATCAATCATGGCATAGCACCTGGCTGCCTTCACCTCTAGTTCATATTGCAGTTCCAACAGGTCTGGCACGGCAGCACTCAGCAGTGGTGTGACTTCATTTAGGCCACAACAGTCCACTGTCAATCTCCACTCTCCATCAGACTTTTGCACTGGCCATATGGGGCTGTTAAAAGGGGAGCGCATCTTGCTGATGACTCCTTGGCTCTCTAGTTGACAAATCAGTTTATGGATAGGGATTACAGAGTCTTGATTGGCTGATATTGCCATCAGTGCACGGTTATAGAGGCAATTAGCACCTGTTGTTCTTCAACCCTCAGCAATCCCACAACAGAAGGATCCTCTGAGAGACCAGGCAACACAGACAGCTGTTTAATTCCTTTTCTTTCTAAGGCAGCTATACCAAAAGCCCACCAATACACTTTTGGGTCCTTAAAATACCCTCTCCTGAGACAGTCTATACCAAGAATGCATGGAGAGTCTGGGCCAGTCACAGTGGGGTGTTTTTCCCACTCTTTTCCATTTAGGCTCACCTCGGCCTCCAATACAGTCAGCTGTTGAGACACCCCTGTCACTCCTGAGATATAAACAGGTTCTGCTCCTTTAAAATCTGATGGCATTAGGATGCATTGAGCACCAGTGTACACTAGAGCCTTGTACTGCTGGGGGTCAGATGTGCCAGGCCATCGAATCCACACAGTCCAGTGAACTCAGTTGTCCCTGTCCTCCGCCTGGCTGGAGGCAGGGCCCCTCTGATGTTGGTAATAATACTCGCTAAGGACAAATGGGTTAGTGTGGTGTGCACGGGTTTCAGCCTCATCTTGATCATTCACTTCTTGTGAGTACAAGTCGGAAGTTCTTCTCCTAGGATCGTGAGCAAAGTTGACATTTCTGCTCTTTTTGTGCACTTGATCACTGGAAACCGGAACAGCATTTCTCCTGAAGGGAACCGTGTTCTGTACTTGTTCTTCCTTCCAGCTCAAATACCCACTCTTCTAGGAGGGAGGTAGGTTTTCCATCCCACTTCTTCCTGTCTTCTCCATGGTCATGCAGGCAATACCACAGCTTCCCCTATGGTGTGTGCCATGGTGTGTTCTCTTGAGTAGAGAAATGACTGCTCCTAATAGCTGAGATTCTAGTCCATGCAGGTGGGCAGTAGGACATAGCCTCTTCAAACTGCTGGAAATCTTGAGGTAATTTCTCCACAGCTGTGAGGAGGGGGGAAGAGCGACTTTCTTCATACTGTCATAGTTGGTGAGCCAGTTCTTCTACTGTTGGTCCCTCTTTGTCTCCCCAGTCCATTACTGCTAATGCACTGGCATATGATGAGGGAGTGCTCAGTACAAACCTTCCACATGGGCTGGGTGCACTGGACTTCATCTGGATTTGTGGGCAGCTGTGTGTTATCTGGGTCATAGTAAACTGTCTCCTTCACAGCTAGCTCCCTCAAGTATTGAATCCATAGTGGTCCACTTACTTGGATGACATACAAAAATCTTCCTTGCAGGATAACTCTCCCTCACACCTGACAGAAATCACCTCCAGAGACTGAGATTTTGTGTCTCCTTTCCAGTGGTGTTGTCAATGCCCCGTTCCCTAGACAGGGATCCCAGCTGTCTGGACTTCCTACCCTCTAGTTCCATGCTACTGACCCTGCTATCCCAGCACCGCAGCAGCCAGGTAACAAGTTGCTCACCTGGATGGTGGCTGAAATCTTTTTGCATGTCTCATAACTCACTCAGGGGTAAGGATTGGGTGACTATCACTGGCTCTGCCTTCTACTCCTGTTCTCGTGATGGGCCTCATTCATCATCACCCTGTACACTGCAAGGAGA